GCCAGAAGGCACCGCGCAACGTGCTCACGCGAATGCCCCGTAAGTCCGGCAGGCCGGGCGCCTGCCGGTGATGGCGGCGTGGCGAGGGGCGCTAGGGGTTGGGGAGGGGGCTTGCCAGCGATGATCAGCGCCCGCGGGCGTGGCGAGGTCATGCGTGGGACGTGCTGGTAACGGAGAGGTGGGGAGGGTCGCAGGGTAACGGGGGGTCTGCATGAGTAAGAGGGGAGAGCGGTATGGCGATAGAATGAGAAGCTGCGGGGAGGGTCTCTGCGAGCCTGAAGGTGTGGGAGTTCTGCAGAGGTCGTCGGGCACCGAGGAAGCCTGTACAGAAAGTCCGCAGGCATGATGGGGGCCTGGATAGACGGTGGAACCCCGAAAAGATTTGGGGGGCATCCTGGGGAGGGACTGCAGAGGTGATGAGCGGTCACGCGGACTGCAGCTAGAGAAAAGAGGGGACATGCAGGACGAGTGGGGGAGGAGGCACCGCCAGTACGAGGGGAAGGAGAATGTGCAGTTATGAAATTTGGGGGTGAGCCGATGGAGTGGGGGACATCTGCCCAAAGAGGGAACTCCCGAGCCCCTCCACACCAGGTGTCAGCCCCTCCCTCGGTGCAGTCCGCCGCCAGAGCAGGCTGCAGGTTCTCCATACACAGTAGGAAATCCCCAGTGCCAGAGTGCAGCAAGCACAAATGCCACTGACACACAGAAGCTGCCCTCCTGCCATGCTGCCTGGCCGGGTGCCGGACTTGTCTGTCAGCATCCTGGTACCATATGTGCTGGTTATTTTAAGTTCCAAAGATGTAAATGGCACCAGGGAATTTCTTGGCGGTTCCTAATGGGTCCTTAGAGTAAAGCCCTAAACAGCAGAGGTGGCTAATGTGTGAGTTAGGTCCTGTTTGGAATAAAAACAGCCCAGAGTTAACATCTTTTGTCATCTGGCAGCGGTTCTGACATCTGCTCTGTAAACACAATGACCTACTTAGCCAGTCAAAGCATCTGTACCCTAATAACTAAAATGTTGCCTTTTTTACCACGGCCTTTTGAATGGAGGGGTGTGCTAGGCAAGAGACGAGTGGCTCATTCCTAGAAACATATTTATGAAGAGAGAAGCATCCTGAAAAGCGGTGGTGCTGGAGGGGGCCTTCCCCTCACCTGGCCAGGGCATCCTCGCTGAAGCTCAGGTTTGCTCTGGCTGGCTTGCCCAGCAGTAACACAAGAACAGGATGCACGCCCCACTGACTTCATCTTTTGCCACTCTCAGAGAAAAGGCACTCAGAGTCTCAGATTGTAACCTTATTATTTCCGTCTGCCAATTCTCATTGCTTTGCTGCTGAAATTGTCAGGGGAACGAAATATTTCCCTACAATGAGTCCCCTGGTGGTATGGTAGTTGAAGTGCTGGGCTGCTCACCCAAAGGTCTGCTGTTGGAACCACTCCCCAGTCGCTCTGCGGAAGAAAGATGTAGCCACCTGCTTCCGCACAGATTGTGGTCCTGGAAACCAGATGGGCCTGTTCCACTCAGTCCTGTAGGGTTGCTATGAGTCGGGGTCAGCTGGAGGACTGCAAGAGGGGGGGTCACCTTTTCATACTATGGATGGAGACCACCTTTGTTTCCCACGATTGAATGTAGATCTCAGCGAATGTGCCTGGGCCCCAACCGTTGTCATGGCGCCAGCAAGAACAGTGCTCATGACAGGTGACTGGCCATGACGGATCATTACTGACCTTGAAACTCAGGAAACAGTGAGGATTAGATTACTTCTAGGAAGTCTTGTGGGGGTAAATTTTTAAGTCGGAACCAGGCGCATTGAGTTGTGATTTATGGGTAGCAAACATTCTTTTTGAGTTTTGACACAGGATATAGGACATTTCCATCCTCCTCAAAGTTAACTCCTGCCCCCTTATAGGTAGAATAGTGTAATTTTTAAAAATCATTTTATTAGGGGCTCATACAACTCTTATCACAATCCATACATACATCAATTGTGTAAAGCGCATTTGGACATTCATTGCCTTCATCATTTTCAAAACATTTCCTCTCCACTTAAGCCCCTGGCATTAGGTCTTCATTTTTCCTCTCCCTCCCCACTCCCCCCTCCCTCATGAGCCCTTGATAATTTATAAATTGTTACTTTGTCATATCTTGCCCTGTCCGATGTGTGACTTCCTCCCTGGGGGACGGACAACAGAATAGTGTAATTTTATTGTTGCCAAGTGTAGCTCCTGCTCTTGTGCATGATATCTCATTTGATCCTTGCTGGAACCGTTGCCATCAAGTAGATTTATGCTTGTGGCGACCCCATGTGCGTCAGAGTAGAACTGTGCTCCTTAGGGTTTGCAATGGCTGGACTTTCAGAAGTAGATTGCCAGGCCTTCCTTCTGAGGCACTTCTAGGCAGACTTGCCTGGTCAGCCATTCCGTTAGCAGCCAAGTATGTTAACCGTTTGAACTACCCCTGGGCGCTGCCTTATAGATGAGGAGTCTGAGGCTCCCAGGGTCACATAGCCAGTATGGCAATGAATACTGAATCCAGAGTCTCCCCAGCTCCCAGGCCTATGTGCTGAACCGGACTTAGTCTAGTCTCAGGTGAGGAAAGAGGAGCGCACATTGTAATGTTTCATTGCTAGTTAAGTAGACCTAAAAGTTGTGTTCAGTGCTTGATTTAACACTGCTTATAACCTATTCAGATACAGAGGAGTTCAAGAGCTTGTGGAGAATTTTATTATTTCTTTATATAAACTTTTTGAAGTCCCCTCATAGATGTGTATGTGCATACTTACAAGAATGTGTGCGTACACACGCACATACACGCTACTCTATTGAACACTAGAGGGACTTTGAAATAGTTAGCAGAGGGGCAGATGGTGAAGGTCAGACTGAGGTCCTTGTGTCTTTTCTGTGAAATGCCCATGTGGCATCTGAACTGACACTTCACAGGTGGGGATGAGCCAGGTCTATATCAGTCTCAGGCCGAGCCCCAGGAAACGGTCAGATACAGTATACCCCCTCGCCCCACCCTCTCTGCTCCTTCTGACACCAGTCCTCATGCTCCTTCTCTGATGGGTGTGATCCTCTGTGGCAGTGGCCGCACAAAACGGACAGACTGTACTCACAATAAGGGGCCTTATGAGGGAAACAACAGGTTATAACTTGAGACCAGGAATCAGGTAGACAGAGTTATCTTATTTGCATGGTCCGACCCCCACAGGAGTTCCGTGCAGTTAATTTGCATTATTAGCAAGCCACCCTATCCTTTTGGTGGACTACACCATATTTGCATAGTCCTGTCCAGCCTTTTTGTGGGAATTACAAGACTTTATATGGCTAACAGCCATATTAAATAATTTTCACTGTGCTTCTCAGACCACTGTTGCAGTTACTTTACCCCCAATTGTGCATTCTTTTTTTTTAATCGTTTTATTAGGGGCTCATACAACTCTTATCACAACCCATACATACAT